ATCAACCAATAGGTCTCACAATGTATTTAATATCAACCGAAATGCCATTCATGGTCATAATGAAATTAATATACACAGTGTTTCGAAGTTCGATACAAAAGTACTTGTCACAAGGGATCCTTACACTCGGTTGTTTTCGGTATTTATCGATAAATATTTTCTACTCGGAAGACTTGGGAGATCACTTATGAAAGCTGTTGGCGCAGGTCCCTATCAACACGACGGAAATACGTGTGGATATAGTATTACCTTCAATCAGTTTCTGGATGACGTCACAGAGACAGCCTTGGCAGGTGAGGAAATGAACGAACATTTGGTTCCAGTTTCTGACCTCTGTGATGTTTGCGGAATAAAATACGACATGTTGAGTAGACAAGAATCATTAAACAGAGACATGTTATACCTCCTTGATAAGGTAAACTTGACAGAGACCAAAAGAGCAGCAATAAAAACAGCTACCAGTCCAAAGGGAATTGAACAAACGATACATTCACTCATTGCCTCGTATTTGTCAGATTATACCACTTACCAGAAAGATTGTCCGTCTCGTGTTTTACACATGGAGAAGGTCTGGGCTACTTTACAGATACAAGGACATGTCAGTAAAGATGCTTTATTCCCAAAACGTTTTTTTCAAACATTTTCTGACTATAAAACCAGTACAATTACTTCCGTTATTATCCAAATCATGACGTCACGACCAATGACGATGGAAGAGAAGACAAGACAAAGGGAGATGTATGTTCGCCATGCCTACGAAGAAGTAGGTGACGAAACAATAAGGAAAGTACAAACAGTATTCATGAAAGATTTCTTACTATTCGGCTACAACATAGCACCTCCACACCAAAGGTTAACATAATAACCATCATACGATATCTACACTATAATTTGTTTTTGGCTTTCGTTAGCATTGTCTGTTTGATCACCTGTTGCTGAGAAAAAGTTGAGGCTTTATCTGAACAAATCCAACTTCAATCTAGATGTTGTTGTGTTTTTGATGTTTGTGTTTTCTTTCATCATTTCATGTTTATTTATTAATTTATTTATTGCCATGATTGCGTGATAAATACTAACAATATAAAGTTGAAAGCTCGTATTTGATATTTGCTACAGATAAAGAGTCTGACTTCGTAAATATCTAAAGCAAAATCTGATATTACAAAGTGACAATATAATGTATATATATAACGTAAAGAAAAGTATACAAATGAAAACAAACAACTGTTTTACTGTTTGATTTATAAATTCATACGCAAAATAACCGGATACCGAGATTATTTTATACCAAATCTTTCCTAACAATTGTAACCCTGGTAAAATACTAGCCGTTAGAGAGAACTTCTCTTTAAGTCGATTGGTGGAGCGTCAGACTAGTAAGCCAGAGATCCCACCGCCGCCCATCATTTTTGAATATGATGGGTTTTCTTGATTTGGAATAGGATATGGTAGAGTACATTATGGAAAAATCAAAGGCTCTTTTAGAAGAGGTATTTTTAGAAAAGGATGTTCACAATTGGACGTGGCTCTTTGAAGTAACCGTGTTTTGATAATACCATTGCCGGTAGTAAGATTCAGGTTTAGTTGAGCAACTAGACGAGCCAGCAACGAAACATGGTTTATATAGATCCTAGTGAAGTTTACGAATCTAGTATCAATAAAGGAGGTCCGTATCCTTACCATTACTTGGCACTCTGAATGATTGTAATACTGACGCGTGATCAGCCAGTCTTTCTTTTATGGAAAGATGTGATAATGTAGGTAAGGTTACCTCTTTTATCTAGCAAGGCAAGTACTTTTTCTATGTAGGAAATATAAATAATCTGTATTTTTTTTTATGTCTGGCAACTTTTCAATTATGGTTATATGAATACTAAGTCAGTCATGATATACGTAGCTGGATGGGAAGCGGCGATGTATGTTTTTCTATTTGCTGTTGACATCATTCAAGACAATCACGATCTATGTAACAAACTTTGGAATATCGAATCAACTACCGTCATGCAAAACTAAGGTAGTAGGTATGCTACTGTCTGGATGAGGAAAATTCACAAAAGCGACATCGAATCCGCAATCTGAAATTTGATTTCGCATTTATATTTAGATCAATTTCAAATTCATTTCATAATTTTTCAGATAGTTTAAGCAGCATTTTACTATTATTTTACTGTTTATGATGTTACTGAAAACAGTCAGTTACTGAAATAGTGATAAAATGCACTAAATGTCACTAGTAAACAATTATTATTCATCTTTGTGGTATAGAGTTTCGTATGTTTCAACTGATGTATTGGGATTAAAGTGTTTTCTTTTGATTTTATCAACAGAAAAAGAGGTGAAAGGAACGAATATCTATACTACACTGACAAAATCCCCTGAAAGACATTCTGTATTGATTGTTTCTACCACAATACCACGTGCTATTCAACTCCCAGGGCATTGGATAAGCAATGCAACTGTTGAATAACATTTTGTTTATACCACACGTTGTTGAATTTAAGGTATATGTCGAAAGATCAACATATTCAAGAACTTTGCCTTTTAGAGTAATTAATATGGCAAAATCAATTAGTTTCAACACCACAGCGCAGGTTCATGTCCAAAATAAATAAATTACATACTGTGACCACGTACTGCTTTTTTAGGTTACTGAACTCGCTATAAGAAGTTGATCGACTTGAGTGATAAAAGGCTAAAAGGATACATATTTATCAAACTGTTAACATTTTAAAGATAAATTTAATATTTACTAAAAGCTCAGAACACTTTTTACTTTATTTTATGGAGACATAATTATTATGTCTTAACCAAGATTATTACAAGATAGATAGAAATTCTTTCACGTTTCTTATCGAAAATCTTTATGTGGGCCCCACACGTTAGAAATATTTCAGTGAATCAATTAATTTTAATGTGGTTGAAAAGATTAATGTATAGGTCATATACAAGTAATTTGTCTCTGAATTACGGTGATATAATATGTGCAACATATACCGACGAAGGACAAAAATATAGCTGTTATTTGATGTAAATAGTGTATACATATTAGGAATTACTTTACATAGTGCATTTAGTTCAAACTCAAATTTGATGAAACTAGGGCAACGTCAAAAATCAGAAGTCATTGAAGTCATATCAGAAATATCTGAGGGGAAAAATTACGGAAATTAGCAGGAGAAACCAAGTGTCTTCTCTTAGATTATTTTATCAAAAGTTTGATTAAAAGCAAAATATTATGTGTCAGCCGGTTTGGTTTTCGACCAAATCATTCAGTGTTGTAGATGATAGGTTGAAGAACAACGATAAAGAACATCTTACATGTGTTGTTTTCTAACAAACGTTGGCAAACTTTTTAATACGGTTAACTATAAGGTAGTTTTACATTAACTTAAAACAAATGGGGTGTCCTTTTGCAATTTACAAAACCTTACCTCACTGAGAGAATGCAGGCGATCAGATTTATATGAACAAAAGAAAGATTTACATGGAGACTTCTGAAAAAGAACAAGGCCAACAAGACCAGGTGTTCTGGAACAGTAAGTGTCTTCTACTTCATCGACGACACCTGTGATGTAAACCTTGGTCAATCCAAGTAAGTAATGTCGTGTTCTCAAATGAGAACAAGGTATATAACAACGGAACCAACAGGCAAATTAACAAGCATCAAACACGTCCAGTTTCATATCACACAACGGAATAGGATATTTTGTAATGAGGTCACTATGGCGACTATAAATCTACCCCATAACTATCACCAACCTGCATACAACTAGCGTGCGAACCTGCATCTTTTAAAAACAAACATTATGTGTTAAAACGTGGAAATTGAAAGGATGACAGTGTCAAAATTTCACTAGTCACTCCTTTATCAAAGTTGATAAACAGAAAAGGTTCACTGACAGTCTGTAGATATGAATCAGACATCAAAGCATCGGTGCTTGATAATCTTTTAGAATTATTCAATGCTGGAAATAAATGACATGTATAAAAGTGTTAAAAGCATGTCTAAATCCTTATGTTTATTTCAACAGTTATGTCTGCTGATAATACTTCCTCCTCGTAAAAATGTCGACACTTAAAATTGCGTGAATCACTGAAAAATCTTGCGGGATTAAAACGCGTACTGTTTTATGTAATAATTTTTGTGTAGGGTTGTAATTTTTGTTGTTTTATGAATAGCCTGACTGTGGGTTTGTAGTGTACGGTATTATGTTTTCAGTGGTCTTTGAGTGACCTAACGGTTTCTCTGTACTTCACATTCGCATTCATTTAAATCGAATACTCGAATAACTTCACGCTTTCCCACGGTTCCGCCGACTTCGAGATAATGAGGTTCTACTGTCATATTTTCTTTTTTTTAAAGCACCATCCAATCTACTTTAATATTTAGACAGTTATCATCCTTTTCGATCAATTTTGATTTCCTGTTGTCTAAGTTAAATTTTCACTGACATGGCATCACTAATCCTAGACTGACGAAGCAGATGTATGGTGCAGTTTAATTCTATCTCGATATTACAAGGTGTTTAGAGTGTTTTGTACAATCATTTGATGTAAATGCTGCCTTTCCCTAGCCGTACAATCAACATTTTAATTCATATGGGTTGTTTCAAACTTACTGAAGTATGGGACGAGTGCACTTTCTTATCTAACCTATCATGTTTATTATCGTTAATACGGTAATGGTTGATTTTCCTTCGTCGCCTTCTAGATGTCAACTCTTCATGTCCGGGGCATCACTGACAGGTCAAAAGAACGAAGCAGGAGAGTAGTCAATCTTTATTTGGCTGCACTTCATCTTAATCAAAATGTGTTATTCAGTTGTATATCTCTTGTACAATTGTTTGTTCAATAATATTTTATTAATTTTTTTCAACAAATTTATCAATACATTCATTTAATTTCACTATGTCCAATCGACTTCTGAGTTTCAGCATATTTCATTTGTTTCTGTATACTTATATTCGTCGTTAATAATGTAGGTACTGTGGTTTTCTGATTCACATGCCCATGAACTTCCTGGAAAATGCCATGGCAAGAACACCAAGCACAGTAGTGACGATGGAGCACCGTTCTAAAACAGAAAACACAACACAATAAAAAAAGTGACATTTTGCCGAAATTACAATAGCACTTCATCATGTTGACTCCTTAAGCAACTCTTTAGTTCTACACAAGAGTAGACAATAGACTCTGAGTTAAGAGACCTTGTGCAATTGTTCTGAAATTTTGAAAACATTGCGTAGCATAGATGGTCCTTATACAGATTCACAAAGCTGTGCAACTTATTCAAAGACGCATGTTTGTGGAAACTTTCTCTCGTAGGTGTTCACGAGTCGATGGGTAGATTTTAAATCTGCACTTTAGAAAATATTTTCTCGGAGTCATTCTAATAAGTCTCTGCTCAATTGACACTATATTTTCTTAGCGACGCATTAGTCTCAGTAAAATTATCAAAATTTACTCATCAGTACAGAATATATATATACTCAAGGGATAAATAAACACAGGGAGACATTATTTGCAATATCTTGCGAACGCGTTGTTAAAAAACAATGAAAATCGGTCAGACACCTCTCTAGGTTAAAGTGCACGTGGTCCTGTATCGAATGTTGCATTATTGTATTGCATGACGATGTCTTCCGGGGAAAGCACGAAACGGGAAAATCTCGTGCACAGCAGTGTTGTGACATTGAGTTACAATGCTCGTCATACCATTAGGCAGTCTTCATAGAAACAAATCATTTTTTTGATATTTTGATTAATTTCTGATAGCATTAAACAATGGCACGGCTGACAGAAGTTCAAAGGGGTGCGGCCATTGGGATGGTTATGCAAAATTAAAAGCAAATACAGGTTTCGGTGTCCATATTTGCAGTATAGAATGTTTTCTTAGGCGTCTAAGGGAAACTGAGTTGGTTTCTGACCGACCTAGGTCTGGGCGTCCGCGCGTCCGCACCTTACTGCCACTGCATCTGTCCTTCATACCATAGGTACTCATAATCGTCCTATCCCTGCAAAAACTGTAAGGAAATGATTGTGGAAAGTTGATCTGCGGGCACGTCATCCGTTTGTAGGTCTGCCCCTTATCGCTGTTCGTCGCCAGCGTCGTATGGTTTGGGTGGCGGCACATGCCTCCAGAATATTCCCATTGAGGAAGTGGAGGCGAGTCTTGCTTACTGATGAGTCCCGGTTCACCCTGTTTCGAGCAGACGTTCGATGTCGTGTATACCGACTTCATTTTGCCGACTGTTGCGTAGTACAGATGGATAGATTTAGGGGTGGATCGGTTATGGTATTGGGAGGAATCTCACATGGAGTTAAATTACCACTGGTTGTGGTAGCGGGTAATTTAACTGCCGCTAGGTATTGAAATGAGATCATCAGACCGCATGTTGTCCCATTTTTGCGGCAAAACAAACTCGGCCCTTTGTAGCGAGGATCTGTCGCGACTTTCTCACAAACAACAATAGCCGTCCACTGGACTGGCCGCCATACAACCCCGACCTATCCCCTATTCAGCACTTGCGAGACCAGCTGGATAGACAGTTTCGACGACGGCAGCCTCCCCCTGTTACTCTGACAAAGTTAAAGCAGCTCTCTCGGAAAAATGGGCCAACATCCCAATGAGGAGGATAAACTCACTCATGAACTCCATGCCTAGGGGAATCAGGGTGATGGGGACATACCCATTTCGATTAGTGATTAGTTACTCACAATGCTGTAGACATTATTAACTCCAAGTCACTCACAAAACTTACAAATGACTGTATTTAACCAGAGTTCATAGCAAGTCTGTGTTGTAGTCAGTATTTCATTCGGAGTTCTTCACGGGCCTGTGAAGTGACTGAGTCACAAAGAGGCTTAAACGCACGCATCCTGTTAACATGTACACGCACCACTCACACGTCAGGTGGTCTTCCTTAATTGACAATATTTCTTTACAATACGTTTACAGGTATATTTCACCAAGATTGTTTGTTGCTCCATTCAATTTTAATGCATCTCTTATGACTATTAAAATTATTGTAAGCGTTAAAATATCCTTCCTGTGGTCACGTCGGACAGGCGAAATTGATGGAAACACCCCTTGACCACTTTAAGATTAGAATGAGTAAATATAGCGCGTTCATCACGTGACATTTTGGAAGCGAGGCTGCGAAGCAAAACCACAATGTCGTTGAAGTAATACTAACAGGTATTAATATTCCTGTAAGAAAAATAAGTGTTGCTACAAACGTGTCTCCGTGGGAGTCGCCATTTTCGTTTATTTCCAGTGTATTACTAGGCGCAAACCTGCTGTGACGTCATCAGGGGACATCGTGAACATTTGTAAAGAGATCCAATTTTCATCAAATTAATAGCGAAAGTTGATTTTTAGGGAAATCGAGTCCGGCAAAGAAAACATCTTATGAAATCCTAACTTGGGCGGAATATGTCTTTAATAATGTAAAACTAAACCAAACCAGCACAAGATACTTACTTTTGTCTGAGCTATTCCCATTCTGTCGTATTTCCAATGTCTTTGTCACCAAGTGATGGTCATAATCATCATCGTCTTCAGCACTCCTTTCTCCCCGCCTTACATCATCACATACATTCTGCAATACATATTATCCTAAGATAATAGGTGTCATGTCATCATTACTACCACCTTCGAAAATCACGAGAAAGACGTATGATTTTCTCTGTAAAGAGCAGATGAAGAAGCATAGCGCACACATATGCCATCTAAGCCACATACACATACGTACATAGATACACATACACCGTCTTCCTAACACACACGCACGCACATATATACAAACACATACACCGTCTTCCTAACACACATGCACGAACATACATACACAAACACATATACCGTCTTACTAACACACACGCACGTACATAGATACACAAACACATATACCGTCTTCCTAACACACACGCACGTACAAAGATACAAACATATACACTGTCTTTCTAACACACACGCACGTACATACATACACAAACACATATACCGTCTTCCTAACACACATGCACGTACATATATACACAAACACATACACCGTCTTCCTAACACCCACGCACGTACATTCATACACAAACACATACACCGTCTTCCTAACACATGCACGTACATAGATACAATCACATACACAGTCTTCCTAACACCCACGCACGTACATTCATACACAAACACATATACCGTCTTCCTAACACACACGCACGTACATAGATACACAAACACATATACCGTCTTCCTAACACACATGCACGTACATAGATACACAAACACATATACCGTCTTACTAACACACACGCACGTACATAGATACACAAACACATATACAGTCTTCCTAACACACATGCACGTACATATATACACAAACACATATACCGTCTTCCTAACACACATGCACGTACACAGATACAAACACATACACCGTCTTCCTAACACATGCACGTACATATATACACAAACACATACACCGTCTTCCTAACACACACGTATACGTGTGCTAATTTTCCCTGGTTATGAGTACTGAAACAGGAAAAGTAAAATGTAGTGTATGATTACTAGATGATTATAAAATATCAATCGCAGGAAAGAAACAAAATCTGTCAAAATCCTTTTTTCAGAATACGAAAACAAAAAAAACCATAATGTAACATATGAGGATATATCTACCAAATTGCAGCTGAAAGATCCACGGCTACAAACACGAACGGAACATTCAAAATATACAGCGTGAGTGTTGTAGTCGGACCTGGATCCAAAATGGAATGCATACAGGGGTGCAGAAACCGCGGTTTGGTCATTGTCTCTGCTGACAAATTTTTCCATCAGATACGGCTCCAGCACACACCTAGATTATAACATAGAAACGTCTATGTACAAAAAATTTAAATATAGAAAACACCATTAATGACTTGTTTCATAATATCTCTGACGGTGTATATAAAATCGTATTTTCATATGAGTTGACCGAAAACGACTTCTTATTCTGTTGTCTACTTTCGCAAGATCGTCATTACCACTTTCAAACTGACGTTGAATTGATATCAATCATGAAATGTAAAGCTCGTGGTTTTGTTAGCTTTGAATAATGACCGAAGAGAGCGATAACCCGCGTTTAAATGCCACGACCTTTCTTCATCAGATAAGTTATTTGTGTTTGAAATATATTCTCCATTACATTATCCAACCTCTTCCGTCTTGTCCTAGACAAAGGAGGAGTCATAAATACAGTGTACATGGACTTCATGAAAGCCTTCGATAAAGTTCCACACCGTAGCCTTATGGAAAAATTGAAAATGTACGGAATACATGAGAGATTATGTATCTGGGTGGAATACTTTTCTATCAAACAGAAGACAATGTGTCCAAGTAAATAGAGCGCAGTCAAAATGGCATGAAGTTACCAGTGGAATACCTCAAAGATCTGTGTTGGGGCCAGTTCTATTTTCATTCTTATAAATGACCTACCGGATTGTGTACTATCAGAGGTGTATTTGTTTGCAGACGACACGAAAATTTTCAGAGAAATGAAGGACGGCAGTGATGCGTTACTACTACAACAAGACCTCGACCAGCTACTTCAGTGGAGTGAAAAATGGCTGCTTAAATTCCATCCAGATAAGTGCAAGGTCTCATCCATTCAAAAGAACCTTCTGCCTACTGTTTAAGGCACTAGTTCGGCCTTACCTGGAATATGCTAGTTTGGTCTGGTCACCATACAGAAAGCGGGACACGGAGCTACTAGAGAATGTGCAGAGAAGGACAACAAGAATGCTGCCACAGCTAAAAGACATGATCTATGAAGAGAGATTAAAACACTTAAAGATGCCAACACTTAAATACCGAAGAATGAGAGGCGACATGATCGAGGTCTTCAAAATAATACAGGGAGTATATGATAAGTAACAGAACATCTACTGAAATTAAATACAGCCAGGAACACCAGGGGAATTCACTAAAACTCAATAAATAGCAGTACAACAGGGACATCAGGAAATACAGCTTCACACACAGGATAGTGGATACCTGGAATAGCCTCCCGGAGCAGGTAGTGACAGCAACAACAACAAACCAATCCAAAAATAGACTAGATGCCTACTGGAACAAACACCCACTGGGATATAATCACACGGAAAACTATGGAGCAGACATCAGAAGGACAACATACACAAATTGTGATTAATTGGAGCTGCCTATAGAGGACCAACAGGTCCTGCAGGTAGAGACAACAAAGGAAACAACATAAGTAGTCTTGTAGGCTGTGATTTGTAACTTTTGATTGGTGTTGCTGCTAATTGGTTCCATAGTGACCAAAACTATCCTTGAAATATGTACCTGTCCTTCGTGACATCCCATAGTTCAACTGAATTATCTCCACCGTAATCGTAATACGATGCTCTGGCAGTACAGTTTTCTGGTCTCACAGCATAGTCTACAAAAGGTAACACAACTAGCTTCAGCAATAATTTCACTATGTTTATATTTCCGCCCAACCCTGTTGCATTTCCATTGTCACACGTCAATAATTAATTTGTTCTACAAAAATCAGAAAACCGCTGAAAGAACAGCAAATAAGCATTATTAACAACATGTTTTGAATGGCAGTAGAAATGGTATGAAGTGCTAAGTCAAACGGTACGAGTTTTGATAATGATTACTATTCAAAAATATCATCTGATATAGACAAAAAGCTACTTACGTTGGTCACCGCTACTGATGTGAACATATACCAAGCTTCCGGTGATAATATCATTATAATAGTCAGGATAATTTGAATATTGTGACTTTGAGAAAAACATTTCAGGTTGACGTGTATATCTCCGGTTATTTTCTGATTTCCTGGCGTAAGGTAGTGTCGGGATAACACTGGAACCATAACGAGAACTCCTGTGAAAAAAGTAGAAATAAAACTCATTAATCTGAGCTATTTATTATAACAATGTTAACGGCTAATTTTTTTTAATATCTCAGCAAAATAACTACTCTGTTTTATTTCTCATTTCTTTATTTTGAAAGATTATTATACAATGTCAACTTGTATTTGAGATAATTTAAACCTTTCAAATGTACAGTGTTTACAACAAATTCAGGAAAAGGCGAATGGTAGGTTTAACCTTACATTTGGTGACCTGGCCCCACTTGTATAAAACATCTCAACTTGAGATTTCCTCAAGCCCAGATTTTCCTCAGCTAATGTCTCCTTGAAAATATCTTGTATGAAAATTTCTCAAGGAATTTCAGGACATCCTAGCCGATGCCTTCCTCCTGTTCATTGAGAAAATTTTATACAAGCCGTTTTTGAGGAGATATCAGCTGAGGAAAATCTCGACTTGATGAAATCTCAAGTTGAGATGTTTTATACAAGTGGGGCATGACCATACATTTTACCTTGTTATTTAAAAAAATTCAACCCGTACAATTGATTAGCCATTTTTACATTCATTGATAATATTTAATTTTCTACTTACACAATATCAGATACAGTACCTGTCGTTGACATACATGTGTGTTACGAGATCGAACACCTTTCCGCCTGAGTGGATTTTGTCACATATCAGACGGAAAGGGTTAAAGCCATTCCCTCCAACGATGTTTGAGGACGAGTGACTGATCTGTATGTCAGCGCGATATAAGTACTTGTAGTACGGGTAGTTGTAATACTCATGTTGCTGAAAAAAACGGGACGTAATGTTTTCATTTCGAATTCTTATTTTTAAATCGATTAAAAAATATACTGTGCTTTGTTTTTTCCTCGTGTACATGTAGAAATTGTATATTCTTAACCATACCACTATCCAATGGGATTGAACATCGATAGGCGTGAAACGTGAAAGAACAGTCTACCATCGGCAATCACTAAGGATTGTACAAAAGACACACAAAGAACATCTTTTTTATACAATTATTTACAAAACATCATTCGGCTATTTCCTCTTTCTAGGAGTCGTCAGTGATCCCAAATGCTTTAAATGTCGAAAAACTAGGTGAATGATAAAAATGTAGATGCACTATCTTCTTGATGGAAAACATGTGATAGTTGATGTCTCCCTGTATGCATAATAGAATTATTCTTGATATTTTTGTCTCCAATTTCCTACATTAACGATGAAAATCTTCTTAGAAAAAAAAAACAGCATATGAACAGAAAAGAATACTTAAGAGAAAAAAGACAAACTTGAGAGAATGAACAAGAAATTACAAAAGAATAAAGGTTGAAAATTATCAAAACAAATAATAAATTTCGTAGTTTTCAGATATTTGAAATCATCAACAGCAGAGTCTACACATGTATGGTTTTAAAGCTTTGAATACTGAAAGTTGAGGCGATCTGATTGTTTGGTCAATTTTTGTTTCTTATTATTGGGTCTAAATTGATTCTTCTTATCCCGTACCATGCTGTACCAAATATTATTTTCCTCAAAGTATGTTAAATTCAAATGAATATTAACGGCAGTAAACTTCTAAAGCCACGACGTAATTTTTGTTTTATTGTTAACAATATCTTAGTTGAGTTTGGTGACAAGATTTTAACAGGCTCTTGACATACTTTTAGGAACTTTATGTGTCACTTTTTTTTGACAGACGAGTTATAATCACTAGAACATAACAATTGGGACATACTATATACGTCTATGTCCACCACTTACTTCGATTTTAACTAACAAGCCAAGCAGGGACAGCTCTCTATAATGGGCTGTCAGATTCTCATTCGAATTTCCCATTGTGAATTTCCTGAGGTAGGGAAGTAGCATCTCTGCCTTCCCAACCTCGTTTTGGTGTTAACAAGCCGCAGTTGATTAGATTTTTAGGGGAAAACCTGTAGCAGGATTGCCCATGAAGATATTCTTCCGGAAATAATTTGTTTTGATTTCATATGTCAAAATACAAATGGAATAACAGTTTATTTTCAAATTCTATTATTGTTGCGATTACAGTGCCAAATATTACTGATTTCGACTGAAACTTTTACCTTTAAATGGACGCTAGTATCCTATTGCAAAATATACTTCATTAAAACATTTATTATACCAAGGTATGAATATACAACACCTTAATAAACAAGTTTTAAATGATGATTTTCTAGTTTAGAGGATGCTGTATTATTTACACAGATACATAAAATATGTGTGTCTAATTTTAGAACACCCGAGTCCATGGACTCCATGGAATTTTAACATGGGACGAAAATTTGTCACACTTACCAAACCCATTTATATTGGCCTGGGAGGGTTAAATAGATATCAAGTGAATTCTTGTATAATTAATAGTACAAGGACGAAAATATCCCGATATGCAGGAAATAGGTAGCTATAAAGTTAAACGTTTAACATCAATAAACATTCATGATGATAATATTGACCGAAAAGAAAAAATGAATACCCTTCTTCTGTTATTTTAAATTCATATCACTTACACGGAACATATATACAAATTGTTGATTCTATCAAAATGCACACTATCTGTCCAAAAATATTTAAATGTTTCATATACCGTGCATGAACGTCCAAGGGCATAGTCATGTGCTTCGATCTGTGTCACTTGACAGCTAGATCCACCGTGGATACTGGTGATAGTATACCCCTTTGGAACTCCATGGACATGAATTATTCCATCTGGTAAACAGTCTAATAAACAAAAACAAAAGGTCAAATGTTGATAAATAAGAAAAAAAAAAAAAAAAAAAACACTACAAAAAACGGTAATCCCGAAAACGATACCGTTTAAATATCTCATTAGGATTCCAATAAAAGCAACAAAGTGGTTCTAGCCCAGCGCCTGCTAACTTTGCACGCACACATTAAAACCATCCATATACTGAGTTGTTGGAAAATCGAATAATGCAGTTTTTGTTTCTGAGTTTGTTATTTCCATTTTGTATATCGAATGTTGTGTAGAGTTTTAGTTTAAAAAAGGCGTGTTCGCAAATTCCAGTTGGTATGGATGTTCCCGTGAAATTGTACACAGAATTGAACTAAGTGATCATTGTCAGATTACAAAATGTTTGAGGTTTTTTTTTTTCTTTAAAATCACTTTTCCTAGAAAGGAAATGTTACTCGTTTTGAAGCTGATTTCTTAAAAACGGCTTCTTTATTTATTTATTTATTACAGTTTTTAAGATTAGTGTGCCAATTATACATACGGCATCTGATGACGTCACTTTCGATATTCTGACTCCACGCAATTAAGCCGCTAATTGACAAACTTACCGGTCACGATTTTTTTCAATTTTTCGGCAAACAGCAAATGCAAGGGGCCAAATTATAGTAAAAGCGCTTGGGTGCACCGAAACCGGAAGAGTTTGAAACACTCCTCCTAACATCAAACTTTGATCCAAAAATCAAGAAAAAAACACACTTTTCTTCATTTAATTGATCATAACTTTTTTCTTATGCCAAATTTGACAAATAATGTTTGCTTAAATAGACAAATAGATTCCAATGAACAAAATAAGTGGTTATAAGAAGCCTTGCGATGAACCCTTGCCTTGTTATGGAGCCATTTCTTAACCTTACCTTATACCCTCAGTAAATGTCACAAAATCTATAATAATTTAGGCCCTATGGGCCTTTTGAATTTTTTAAGTGCTATTTCCGGGAAGTGCATTGGGATGCTATAAATGCCACATGGTTTGGATTAAATCGGGTCGTGGGCAAAATTAGATTGTTCGTGAAAGAGGTCCTTTACACCCCCTCCAAACTACAAATCGCCGATGTGAACACGAATGCTTGATACACGTCGCTGATATGAACAATTATGTAAATGTATTTAATTCATTCAAAGTGTAAGATTTCAAAAATATTTCAAGATATATTTAAAGAAAATTATTGATTTTTTAATTTTTTATTATTACTTAATTGTATTAATTAGACTGAGTACGGCGTACACCAGTGACCGCCAACATTAAAGAAAACATGACAGGTGTTGTGGAAGAAATTGCGCTTTTTGATGTTAATATGGAATTTCTGCAACATACCAGACGTACCAATATCAAAGGACGTTGTGTGGTCACGTCATAGGTATTGTATACCGCCACAACCACAGATTTGAAGATTTCTTGTCATTGAGATATCCATTAGAAAAGAGAGCGTATTTCAACCGGACAAGGGAAATGACTACCTGTCCATTTCTACATATGTTTCAGAATTAGGTCATAGCTTGGTCAATATTTGGCCAATATCATTCATTAACTACTCGTTCTAAAGATAAAGCATTGCTCTTAAATTTAATGTATGTGTTACTAAGATCTGCTCCTAGAATATAACAAGAGTTCCTCGGAACTGTATGTGTCACCTGCATAAAGTGTCACGCTCACCCAGAAATCGAACTGGATGTGCAACGTTCAACCATAAAGTTGTAATACCAAATTAAATTTCTATAACTCGAAGCATAAAGAGAAAACTGTACAAAGCATTATTCCTGAGAAATTTTCCAAATTCAAAGGGTTATATCACTGCCAAGAAGGGTCACAGACAGCCAAGAATCAAAAGTAATCTGTACCCTTCCAACAAGAAGCCATATACTAAATTTCATTTAGACAACTTAAAGCATAACCGAAAAAAGTCTGGAAAACTTTCGTACGGACGCCGCCGACAAAGTGATCCCTAAGTGTCCGCCAGCTCTGCAGTCGACACAAAAACGTGATTCTTAAAAAATATGTTTAATATTCCCATCACGGGAGTTATTACCCTTGATACTATAATACATATATATATGGTTCGTGCCAAGTCCCTGTGTCTCACAGTGCCTCGTTTTAACTTACCATACGAAAGAAGCTTTGAAACATCGCTAGGAGTCACAAAGGCGACGGCATAACTCAGTGAGGACTGAAATTTAAAAACACAGCAATCTACTACAAATATTCAAAAATTTTAAAAAATTACAGAAATTACTCTGTTATTCGTAGAGATCTTCAAACTCACCTTGTACTCTGAAAAATTGTTACGACACTTGCAGGCTTTCAGTAATATCTTTAGAGACGTCTATGGTCATTTTGTTTTATTCAAACGAAATCATTTTCACACAAAATTGCTGCATTGAAATAGTAACAAATACATACATCATATTATATATACTCACGAGGATAAGAAGAAATTGCAGATATATCATCGTTTTGTCTGTCCTCTTTGACACCAAGGAAAGGTACTGACGGCAATCAAGGACATTCTCCTTATTTAAACTTACTGTGTCACAAGCGGTTACGACAAGGAAGCAATGCCACGGTCGTTAACCATAGATGCGACACCAATGCACCCAGTTAGAACTGATGATGGTGAGTATCCGTGATACACGAAAATGTGACCCAGCATGTTGCATGAACACGCATATTGCAAATGATACAGAAATCCCAAGTTTTGCCTTGATATAATGGTGAAAAAAGAAACTGTTAGTTTGTTAAAACATATCTATAAAAAAAACTTAAACCAACATGTCGAATATATTAAGCATTAGTGCTTTCATTTCTGAATCATATTCGTAATATTCGAAGTTATTTTCACCGGACAATTTAACCTTTATGTTTTAATATATCATTTTACTTATCTCAAGATGTATTCACCATCCACATGCGGTTGTTTTAAGCAGATTAAGCTAGAACTGGTTGACAGATTGAAAATTATCCGAAATACGTTCAAAAGGAATCGTTTATCTTGGTCTTCGTGAAAACAGTGTCATATCCAAGGGGGGAACTGAAGGTAGCATCGGATTAGTAATTGGAGATAGGAGATTAGCGACTTAGAAATTCAAGATCATTAACACTTAATGTGTGTCCTTTTGGAAAAATTTTGACAAATTATTATCAATATTACAATTTTAGTTATTTCAGTAATAGATTTGATACCAAAAACCTTTTCAGTACATAGAATTTATAAATGTGTTATATAATTCTTATGAATGATGATCTTCATTGGACGTGCGTCCATGATAAGGTTAGGTAAATTTTCAGCGATATCAAATTTCATAAAGCCAATTTCAACTATATAGTCCTATTTTAAGGAACTTAGCAAAGACATTTCGTACGTGTAGGGTATAGTTTGATACATTGTTCTGGAAACCGTACAAATACTCCTAAGGAAAAGTAGAAATCGTAGGTATGTGATGGTTTTGTCTGTCCCTTTTACCTCCGGGATCGGGTAACGATGCCAATCAATTACAATGTCCCGATATATACTTTGCCATGAGTTGCTTCTAAAAAGGAGTAATGCTAAAGCTGTTTTGGCAAGACTAAGAGCAGATGTATTGACATTGTAATGTCTCTGTGCAACATGATAACGCAACCCTGTTTGACACAAATGAACAGGGTAACTGCGGACCATAATGCTTCTAAATCTGTCGATAGATGTATTTAGTTAAAAGAAATGTAGGAGAATGTAACGGTTTGTCTATTTATTATAAATATCACGGCATTTTCATGTTGTTCTTCATGTTGATTAGGTTTAACCCAAGTGAGTAATGTCAGGTACTCAAAAGAGAACAATGTATACAACAACAGAACCAACAGTCAAACTAACGAGTATAAAACACGTCCAGCTTCTTATCGCACAAAGAAATGGAATATTTTTCGATAAGATCACTGTTGATATGAGGGGATATTTGTTTTAGTGTTGAAATCATACATGACTTGCATAACGACCAACATAAAACGTCAAAATAGAAATAAAGGTGGTATTATGGTGGGGTTAGCATTGGAGATTTTTTTCCTTTGCATAACTACGATGCTCCAGTTTTTTTTTTTCCTTCCATTTTTTTCTACTTTTTCCCTGGAGACTGAGTATAAATATATCGTCAAACCAGCTGACAGTAAGAACGCAGGGCTAATAAAAACCCTTAAACAGTAATGGTCAGATTTAGTGAGTAAAGAGGCACTGTAAATATGTTACACTTATATATATATATATGTGTGTGTGTGTGTGTGTGTGTGTGTGTGTGTGTGTGTGTGTGTGTGTGTGTGTGTGTGTGTGTGTGTGTGTGTGTGTGTGTGTGTGTGTGTGTGTGTGTGTGTGTGCGTGTGTGTGGGTGTGTGTGTGTGAGAGGGTGTGTGTGTGTGTGTGTGTGTGTGTGTGTGTGTGTCGCTGCATAAAATAAGCTATGCACATAGCTTGAATTTATGCATACTTAATATAAGAATATAAAACAATAGATGGACATGGAATAAGGCCATCATATAAGATCACTGGGTTATTTTGCTCTTAGATTTATTATTGATAAAATAAAAACTTTGTAACATGAAATACATCATATAACTACAATACAAACACAATCATACGATAAGATAACCATATAATATAACCATATATCCAGATCACTCTGACCGTAGTCAGTTACATTGGTTTGACATACTGAATATACATATTCATTACAACTGTAAAATCAATCTATAAATTATATAGAAATAACAGTTGGTATCCAATTATACTACATATATTAAAAATACCCACCCCTTCAGTGTGAAGAGGGTTTTCTCGGCACTAAGTCCGGCAAGCTCTCAGACCGACTCGTTCATAACACACTATAAATAAAACAATTCACACGTTAAAACCTATGCTCCTTCCGACTCCCTGTCTACTAAATCGACCACGCCCGAAATTTGAATGAACACATTTCCAAAATATCAAGTTTACTATTAAACAAAAATATGCCTTTAATCAAATATATTATTAAATAGATACCTGATTAGATTACGCTAATATTCTACACATAGTACTTACGTTTACAATTTTTTAGGCTCTAGTGCCGCTACCTCTCATGGTCGCTAGGCTGGCTATTATCATAATTCGATGTTGAAGCTCTGGGCTCTCTACTAAAGTGAGGCCAGGTAAAACTTCCCTACATTCAACACTTAATTACTACACATAGACAATACTTACTGGACAAACAGGTTTTCTGCTCATTACATCACATCCGCTCAGTATCTCACTCGCATTCTCACGTGCTGTTTCCGCGCGCGCGCTAAAAGTTTTGCCGCAATGTGCCACGTCCAATATTTACGGTAGGCTGATTTCTGTTACATACGAACGCATATAGCTAAAATTCTACGAATATGTTACCTTATGTTGTTTCCACCTGCAGGACCTACTGTCCTCTATAGGCAGCTCAGAATTGTTCGTAAACACCCCATAATGAAATGCCGTCATTCCGGTATCTGGTCCATAGCTTGCTGTGAAGTCAAACCCTAGAGGGTGGTTTTCCCGGAGCTTGTCAATTCTGTTCTTGAAAAGGTTGGTTGTCCTGGCTGAGACTACTTGTTCAGGAAGACTGTTCCATGTATCTACTATTCTGCGTGCAAAGTTGTATTTCCTGAAGTTTCACTAATTTTAACGAGTTTCCTCTTGTGCTGCTGGACATGTTTAATTTCAACAAATCAGAAGTAACTTTCTGATCATAAATTCATTTCAAAATTTTTAAGACTTAAAAGCAATATTGCCAAATAATGACACTTCTACAGTCGAAACAAAAATTAGACAAAAAAACTTGTTATAGATTTAAATGTTTCTTCCAACCTAAAATTTACCATGTTTCGAGACTGGGAAAAAACTTCGTATCACCACGGACTTAAATATAGACAAGTCCGTGGTATCACATTATTCATAATTAACTTTATAGCGCATGCGTTACAATATCTGTGAGCGGTTGGCCAGTATGATTCACTCTTAAGTGACAGCCAGCAATATTGACATAACATCGACAGATGTCTTTTAACGACTTATTTATAGAAGCAGGCCATACCTGTGTTTATAAGATAAACTACCCACGATCCCTATATATGTATTATAGTGACCATATATGGACCGGGGGTCGGGGTTTCGTACCTTTAACCATAATCCGGTCGTGAGTAGCATTGATGTTAGTAGTGAGTCTTTAATGACTAAAAAGAGCGTGACCAGTTTTACAGGAATTCCCGACCCACGGACCATATATATGTATTATAGTGACCATATATGGACCGGGGGTCGGGGTTTCGTGACAGTGATTTTAAGAGTTGGTCCTTAACGTCTGACCAGAGCGTGACCAGTTCTACAATTTCTTATCTCACCTTCTAGTAATACATTAAACGTATAACCACCTCCAATAATCTTTATCGGAAAGGCTATATCTGAGGTGTTGAAGATGTGCTTGGAGAACGTAACAGAATTATTCAAATATTTCAAACAGATTTAAGAAAGATGCGTTCAATATTAAACCTTACAATTTCATTTCATTTATATAACGAAATTTCATCGAGTGAAAAATTAAATTATTCCATTGGCTGAAAAATTTGAACGTCGGGTTTGATGACGTAATGTATACGAAACAACTTGCACTGTCGTCTGCAAACCTAACAAGAAAGATGGCGTTCTTTGGACTTACAATCATTCTTATGCGGAGTAAGCAACTCGGAGATGGTCGACATTTTCACCGAAGACTGTTGTGTCCAAAGAGGCCGATGACATAAATAGGTCGTGTCGATATAAGTATGAATTGGTTTCATTTGACTGGAAGTCGTGCAAACTGAATATATATATATGTGAATGTAAAAAATGCATTTCAATTTTGTGAGTAGTATTTGTTCCGAAAAGAAAGGAACAAATTTTAAATTCAAAATGATATTGCCGAATTATTCCTATTTGATTAAGAAAACTGTTGATGATATACAAGGCTAGTCATTAAAGCTCCAGAGCAGTTAGTAATGATAGTTGAATAAGAGGAGAATATTACATCTATACTATTTGTACCATAAGTGAACTATGATAAACCCTCCATTAAGTCAGGTTTGTTTGTTTGCTGGGTTTATCGTGGTAGTTTCCTCGCTGAACAACAAACGGGAGGCCCGCCGCATGCTGTCTAGAGCAATAAAGTAAAATTTTTTCCTAAGAATATAACTTATGAGAAACACAAACTGCCATGGGTAGGGAGCGTCGAATAACGTAACTGTAACCTTGGCTCTCATCGCCTGAGCTAGTCCGAAGATTCTGAATATCTATCCGCGATTTCCTTGTTGTCTGAGCTAGTCCGAAGATTCTGTTTATCTATCCGCGATTTCCTTGTTGTCTGAGCTAGTCCGAAGATTCTGTTTATCTATCAGCGATTTCCTTGTTGTCTGAGCTAGTCCGAAGATTCTGTTTATCTATCCGCGATTTCCTTGTTGTCTGAGCTAGTCCGAAGATTATGTTTATCTATCAGCGATTTCCTTGTTGTCTGAGCTAGTCCGAAGATTATGTTTATCTATCAGCGATTTCCTTGTTGCCTGAGCTAGTCCGAAGATTCTGAATATCTATCAGCGATTTCCTGATGGCTTTGTCGCGAGAGATAAGGCAAGAAGATAGATATTGAGAGCCTTTCCGTCTACGCTTGAGCTATCGTGGTCCTTACTCATGGTGTCAGAAGGGCGACAAAAGTCAGTTGAGACACGACAATTATTTATAACATAGACACATATGAATATCCCTACAATAATTGAGTTATTGACACAGAAACGTTTCGGGACAGGTATGGATAAATTTGCCCTTATTCTGTTTACCGTGTCCACACAGATTTTGTAGACAGGGACTGCCCAATCACTGAGATGTCTGAAATAAGATATCTTCGTCTCTATGATTGCACAAAACACACACAAATTCATAGCAGTTTTAATACAAACTAGAAATTGTATGCAGTAATGCCAAATAATGAATTAAAATGCAACATTACAGTTGTTTCGTCAAAGTACTCATCAGGAATGTTTAGGCTTAAATTTTAAAAACTTTGAGGCGACTGAGGAAAATTCAAAGTTTTAATCGTGGCTTTTAAATTATCTTTTTTTCCGAAGGTTTTTTTTTTTTTTTTTTTTGTATTTTATGTCCCGTATTGAGGTTCTTTGTAAGTAGGGACTGTTCAATCACTTAGATAACCGAGATTGTGTAATTGTCAATTTTCTTAAGGATATTTCTTAAGTGCAACGACATATATGAGTACACTTTATATATTTTTGAAACCAGTTTATTGCGCTTAACTTCGCAGATGTGACAGTATAATGTAGCTTGTGCAATGATTCGACTCCAGTTAAACAATCCGTTATAAAAATATTATACAGATGTTAATGAAACTTACACACAACAAAATGTTTAGATATCTGGGGCTTCTCTGAAAAAAAAAGTTACAAATAAATGTGTTCATTTCATTTTACTAACAAATAATTGTTTTTTTTCTCTCATTTGACAGAAGTTTACATTTTGTAGAGATAGAAAAATAAAGCTTGGTTTGTATTGAAATACATTGCATTGTGAGAGAAGGGAGCTAACTCCGAGAGTCATATTCCTATACACACTATAACCAATTGCTAAACCGGTGACATTCGTTATTTGCCTTAAATTGTTTATATATTTGTGTTTGTCGCAATAATAAATCATATGAGCTACTTACTGTACAGTCTTGTACGTAAGCATGAGACTTTAATGAGCATGAGCATGTTATTGTGGCACGTGCACGGACATTTAGGAGACTTCAGTGTTAACGTTCATGTGAAATTTTGACCGAACGTTAGAGAGAGAGAGAGAGAGAGAGAGAGAGAGAGAGAGAGAGAGAGAGAGAGAGAGAGAGAGAGAGAGAGAGAGAGAGAGAGAGAGAGAGAGAGAGAGAGAGAGAGAGAGAGAGAGAGAGAGAGAGAGAGAGAGAGAGAGAGAGAGAGAGAGAGAGAGAGAGAGAGACAGAGAGAGGAGCAGAGAGAGAGAGAGAGAGAGAGAGAGAGAGAGAGAGAGAGAGAGAGAGAGAGAGAGAGAGAGAGAGAGAGAGAGAGAGAGAGAGAGAGAGAGTTAAAAATGAACGAATGAATATAAAACAAAAACATGTCAGGTAATTTTTCTGGCTTGTAACAGTTTCTCAGATCCCCTAACATTATCTTTTTCTTTCCTTCTTTCTTTCTTTCTTTCTTTCTTTCTTTATTGGAGGTCTATACGATGAACACACTGTGGTAAATTGTCTTTTGTCACGGATTTTTGAACGCAGATGATGAACACTGTAGCATGTTTATTAACACCAATATATTGGTATTAATAGATTACCTGTGTGTATACATGCTACATAAGCGCTGTTGGAAGGGCACACTGTTTTTTTGACAATCAGGACATGTTCATAATAAAGATTTCTTCGTTTGCTGTTTATTTGAAAAAAAAGTGACGCCAAGAATTTAATATCCCTAGTATTTTAACTAATCGTTTATAAATTGTAGGAAAACATTTTAAGTCAACCTCTAAATTTGAGAATTAACACGATGACGTCATTGATCACATATTATCTCCATCAGGTGTATATTTAGTTTGAACATAAGCAAAATGCTCTTATATCTTAGTACATGTCTCTAGTCTACACATATAAATCTCTGATGCTTCGATCTGCTTTTTCCAAGAGAAATATAATTCGTGTATTTTCCATTGTACAGTTACTTAATTAAAGAATTCAAATACCACAAAAAAACATAATTAACTTTTTCGATGTTGAATAATTTTATCTCGACTGTGCATGCGGTCTAGAAAAAGATTTGTCATCGTATCGATAAACTGACGGAAGAATGCTCCTATCAGTGAAGTTTAAACAAATGTTCTAAAAATAAACTTTTATCGATTTGGGAAATTCCCTTGCCTCGTTTTGACATTGCCGAGGTTCCCCAAATGTCAATTGGACGAGGACATCCCCATTCGTGACGTAATATACATAACTGGGGTATACCCTCTGCAGAGATTTCGAGCCGAGTAGCAAATATGCGGTTCTGTTCTTCGTGCTTCTGAGTGGCTGCGTTGGACTCAACGCCAGGCAGTATATGGGAGAGAAAACAGGCAGAGGGGAGATCGGTTTACATGGTGCAGCTTCTGATTGGCTAGCCGTATGGCACATATCACACTCAAGTTAATTTGGTACCGGCTCGGTGAGACTTTCGACAAAATGGCTGCCGCAAGCGAAAACATCACGGCCTGGCTTGACTGGGATGACCACCTTCTGGATTTTTTGTTGATCGGATGGATAGGATGGGCAGCCCTAGTTGTTATGGTGGTCAATTCTGTACTGACCTTTTTCGGTCCCCTCCAGCCTCGTGGAGACTTTGTTATACGGACCAAGGAGGGGGCGACTGGGGCGAAAGTAGTAAGTGGAACCGGAGGTGCGGAATCGTGTCAGTGGTTGAACTCGGCACTCAACTGGTTCTATCTTCATTACGAGAAATTTCCGGAATTTGTTGATGTGTGGGTAAAGGCACTCAACGAGCAGAGTGTGAAGTTAGGGGTAAGTTTTCGCGTGCATTTTTAAGATAAAAATAATAATGATAAAAAACAATCGTCACCTGTCATTAAATTTCGCACGTGCAGTAGTGGCACAGTAAGAAAATGCAGACGTGACATCATTGCATATCTAAGTGACAAGATAATATTGAAGTAAATGAACTAACCATCATATCTTATCACTAGCATGCCCTGAAAACAGGTGTATATCATCTGAAGATTTATCCGACAGGGTCAGCTCTCATAAGTGGTCCTTCACCTGACGTGATTATAAGCATCCTAATCTAATGGAGTGGATCAGGGTTAGAATCCAGTTCTCATATACTGACCATTTGTTTGGGGGTAGAATCCAGGACCTATAAACTGACCAATTGTTTGGGGTAGGATTTAGGTCCTATAAACTGACCATTTATTTGGGGTAGAATTCAGGACTGACCAATTGTTTGGGTAAGATCCAGGTCTGACATACTGACCATTTGCTGGAGAATCCAGGTCTCATGTACTGACCAATTCTTTCTTTTTTACTTGGTTCCACAAGATGGAAATACTACTTGAATATCTATTAACATACCAGAAAAAAGTTGTGTTTTTCTTGGAAGTAGTTTTATCTAAAAATAGATTTTATTACCGTCATACATATTGATAATAGTATGTGCTGTAGTTGTTGGCTATTGACATACTCGAAAAGTAACATCTGGCAAGATGGTAAGATAGCTCTAGACTGTTCAGGACGATTTCTCTCTACCTCAATGATCATAATGCACTTAACACTAGTTATAAGTAAACCAGAGGTAGCCTGATCCTTAGCAGACGCTTATGAATAGCTATCTTGCATGTCCCTGGCATATGGAGTTTATTTCAGAAGTTAAATAATTTGATACGTCACATTTCAGTTTTAAGGAAAGTGACGTAACCAGAGTATTTGATGAGTGTAATTATTTCTATGTAACATAGTCATAAATTTCTATTTTTCACAGAAAAATAGGCAACAATTGTTAATTCAATATTATATACATCACAAAGGTGTGACTTATTTATGACGTCATGGTAGTATCATTATGCATATGTCTGATGATGATATGACGTGGCAGTTTGTCATTTCACAATGAACAGATCATGTATGTGATAAATGTAAAACTTGACAAAATTTAAGGTATACACAAGTATGGGCCGTTAGGTGAGAAAAAAGCATATATCTTGTTGAATTTTTGGCACAAGGAGTGATAGAGTGATAGAGAGAGAGACATAATGAAGTATTTAAGTTAAGTAATAGGAAATTGGGGCTAACATTAAAAATGATGTCAATGGAAAAAAACTAGGATTATAGAAATATCATGTAGTATGTAAAAAGCTTGGTGATAATGTCTGCTGTATTTAACTAAGAGGAGACTACTTGTAGCCCCTGTTGACTTCCAAAATACTATCATCATATCAAAATATATCTAGTGTACAATCCCATTCCTTTATTGTGTCCTTAACATGCTCCTTTGCTGAAACATGCTTCGTGTTAGACTAGGGCTACAATTAGACAATGGGGTCATTTTCAAAATTATTGTTTAAAAAACAGGTCAAATGTATAGATGGATCCACTCAACTTCATTTCAGTATCCCACTCACTCCCATAACTTCATAATTTTTCCTCTCTAATCATTTTCCTGTTTTTTCTCGTCTGCTGAAAGTGAAAGGCTATGATACGGGACATAAAACCCACTAAATAAATAAATAGTGTAACCACTGTACGTTTTCTCGAATATCTTATGTGAAAGGGACATCAGAGATGTATGGGACTGTAGTGTACTGTTTTCTGCTTCATGATCGAAGGTGACGACTACAATTGGACCCCTTATAGAATCAATGTTCTGTGTTTTCTAACAAGGGAACACGGAAGAGACCAAAATATGATGTATTTGATGTGCAACACTTTAATTCGCTTTAATTTTTCTTTATTTCCTGTCTGTTCTTGTTTCTTTCCCTCTCTTGCTGTCCATCTTGACACCCAACCTCATACGTCACTATGGTTGTTGTGAGGATATTAAATCCTGTACATTGTTACCCTAATATAAAGTATGAGGTCACCTGCCCAACAACATGGATGACCGGCTGACCATAAGAGAAGTGACTGATATTTGTAACTTATTTCATCATTGTCATAAAGTGAATTTATAGTTTTAGAAAAAAAAAGGAATACGAAAAAATGAGAAAAAAACCTTAGCTATTAAATGCCAAGGCATGGTTCTATAACAATCACCTCTGCCAGTTAGACAGATAGTTTCTGAAGGATTGTGCAAAAGCACTGACTAATAAATGTACATGGGTAAATTTTAAGGAAACAAAGCAAAAGTTCTTCCTTGTTTAATAGGAAATATTTATATCATAGATAATTGTTAAATGTTGTGCTTAAAATGATTGTTTGATTAATTACAAATGTTTTGTATCCTATTTTTTCTCCTTAATGTTTTTTTTAATAAAAAGAAATTAATAATTCATAACTTAATTCAATTTCAATTTAAATTGTATCTAACGCAGGGATGGTGATCATGATGGTTGAAAAGCATAGAAAAAACAAACAAAATTATTTAAAATGACAAAGAAAATCTTTGATATAGAACATAACGGAAAAGTTAGTCGTGAACAGAAAACCTTGAATTGACTTAAGGAATTTGATATCCAGATTTTGAAAAGTATCTAATGATCTACATAGGGATGACTGGATGTCTTAGTGAGCAGGCTGGAATAAAAAGGGCCAGATAAGGGAGTGTTATGTGTTAACCCTTTATGAAGAAGGGTTTGTTTACAAATGTGATAAAATTGTGGTATCAATTGGCCCTGAAGAACCAAGGTGTTGGTAACATGATCCACATGTGGGAGGCCAGCCCCACTGCATGCTGTCATGCATGAAAGTGATAGGTTATTAGGGGCTAAGTGTTTCTATAATGGACTGTGATCTCAGCTTAGTGAGAAAACAAACCAACCTAACCCTGTAGGGGTCAAAGTTCAAGGGTCATGCATATAAATACCATAGCGGAGAATTCTTCTGATTTTTTTTTTGCTTTACATCTTATTAACAGCCAGGGTCATTTAAGGTAATGTTAGTGTCAGGTGTATGATGGAGGAAAGTTTTGAGTTCCTAGAGAAAAAATCACCCTCTTGTGGCCAATACCGAGTGATCATCACTTCCCCTTGTAGGTCCCGAACCCCCAATCCAGAGATGGAGGACTAGTGATAAAGTCGTTAAGATATGCCTTAAACTCTTTACCACTCAGTTTTATGGGTAAATAAACTGACATTCTTAAAGGGATTAGGGCTGAGATCCTCACTTGAGAATTGTACTGTATTACCTAGTTGGATTTTCTACTGACTGTACAATAATAACGTCTCATATCTTCTCAGGACAGAAACCCTGTATCTTGGGCAAGGAAATAATTAGAGTTGAAAATTAATCTGGTACATTAAAGCAATTAACATACAGATTTAAGTTGTAGGAAATAACCTAACCTATTCTGATTATATACACAGTAATTCATTGAATGTCGGGTAATAGTCTTTGACACCGGCAAGATTGAAATCTTATCTCTATTCACGGACTTCAAACAGAAATCCTTTTGTCACTTCAAATACACATAATTTACGGATTATTAAACATATACATTGAATTAGTATTGTATAGTGGAGACTTATGTATTTAGGATCTATTTGTAGCAATGTGACATAGAAGACTAATAAGAATACTGTTTATTTTGCAAGCAGGCCATGCTGGGTAATAAGCCCATCCACTTCTATTTTTTTAATTTTTGGTAGAATTCACAACAGATGCAAAATTTTTGTCTTGTAATAGGCCTAACCCCAGACTTTGAGTCACAGGACCAGGGCCCCTTAGGTTACATATATTGCAAGATAAGGATTTTGTTTGTTCGGTTTATTCTGCTCATGAACAGCCAGGTTCAATTTAGATGGGTGTCTCTTTGTAGTAGCTAGTGACTGTCTCACTGAACAACATACAGAAGGCCCGTCACTTTCTGTCCAGCTGGAGTAAAGTGTCTTGCCTAAGGACACCATGACCTTACAGACCAGGCCCCAATTGTATAAAACATCTCAACTTGAGATTTCCTCAAGTCGAGATTTTCCTCAGCTGATATTTCCTCAAAAACGGCTTGTATAAAATTTTCTCAAGGAACAGGAGGAAGTCATCGGCTAGCATGTCCTGAAATTCCATGAGAAATTTTCATACAAGATATTTTCAAGGAGATATTAGCTGAGGAAAATCTCAGCTTTCTGAGAAACACAAACTACTACAGGTAGAAAATTCTCGTCAAAGCGGATACCTGGAGTTAAGATCTATAATATATATATATTGATAGCTTTACCATATATGGTAATGTTATCCTTTTAAGGATGTCTAGTACTGTTCCAGTCGTTGCGTTCACAAGATTTTAAAACAGAATATTTGTCTGTGTTCATTTATACGTGAGTTAACATAGAGAGCATAATAAATCAATGATATGGTTAATGGTGTGATATTAGGAAACAGAATCGCTCTGGTTTTGGTCTTTGAAGAGAAAGTTATATAGGATCATTGACAGCTGATCATTGCCTAGATTTGAAACAAAAAATGCCACGTTGCTCAGGGCTAGATCGCCTAGATTAGTGAGGAGGTTGATCAGGACTAAAATCCCTAGATTTGAAAGGATAGTTACATTGATCAAAGCCAGAGTTTCCCATATTCAACGGAAAGTTAAGTTGATCAGGGCCTTATCACTGCAATTTGAAAGGAAAGTTAAGTAGATCAGAGGGAAATCGACTAGAATATGATTTGACAGGGAAATAACTGATCAGGGTTAATCGCCTAGATTTAAAGGTCATAGGTATGAGATGTATATGTTACAGAAATGGAACAAGTGTCGATGGTTGACAAGGTGATATACGCAGCTGTTGCTCGCAGTGTGTTATTGTCGTCATCGTAGGACTATAGACATGGTACAATGCGACATCTGAACAAATAGTGGA